TTTGTGTTGCTGTCCCTATTACACACACAAAAGGTAGACTCCACAGTGGACTATATTTGGTCTTGCACACCTATTTTCTCCATAGTTTTACTTAGCATTCTTACAAAGGATAAACAGATAGGCACATGCATATATAATTTGAAGAGCATACTTCCTCATACTCTACAAGAAATTTCTTTAGCTAACCTTTCAACTGTGCCCTTGGAAGTTTTAGCAATATTTGTTTCAAATAAGTTTATTTTTGTATGATTGATTGAAATCTCAAGCTGCAATTAAGAAAATTGCAGTGAGAACCATTAAAGGGATAGCGTCATTTTCTCCCCTTTCCACTAAAATGTCAGGTTTCAATGTCACCGCAAGATAACCCAAGCGCGTGCTTATACACCATTCACACAGGCGGGAATAAGCGTAAAACTGTCTGGAGTACTAATTACAAATGACTAGAAATAATGACACACAGCAAAAAGAAAATGAAAGGCCCCAGTTCTTATTACTTGACAGCCGAGGTGTATATGCACAGTAATGCAGGTTATTGTGAAGCAGTCTGTTTAGTAAACATACAAACATCCATCCCCACTTGTAGATGAGCCCCAGTCCTCCCCACCCCCCATCTTCCTCTGTCTCTCTGCCCTTTCTTTCTCTCCAATTATAAACCAGCACCAGGTTTTCTCATCAGCCATCTCCATGTCTCCAAATGGCTTTTCAGTGTCAGGCCTATCAGGAAATTAACTCATCATGCAGTGACAGCTGCTAATTTTTTCCCCTTACATGTCAGATGGATCGCCTGCTGAAGCTAATAATGAATCACCAATCCCTGATTAGAAGGTGCTTCCGAAACATATAACTGCCATCTGAGCTAACTTTTTTCTTCATATAAAATGATATCACCCTAGAGGAGTAGAAAACGAATTGTATTCTTCAACAAGATGGAACAGGGATAGGCTGTTTAAGTGAGCCGTGTGCTATCTTAAATTATGGGCTAATACTGCACAGTAAAATAAGTGAAAACTCACAGCTCCCTCTTATTTTGCCAAATGAATGACCTTTTCTGCTGTTACTTAATCCTCTCACTAGAACCAACTTCGTTTCAAATTTCAGGAGTGGCTTTGTCTTCATCTTTTTTTTTTCATTCTGTTTACAGCTTTTGTGCTCAGGAAGTCTACTGAGCAGGGAAGGTTGGAAAAAAGCCCCAGAAGTTCGTTTCCAAGGCTTGCATCTACCACATCGCCAGCTCCTTGCACTGCTCTGCCAGCACCTCCAACCCCATCTCTCCGTCTCCAGGATTTTCTGACGGCAACTCACCTGTGGTTTAAGCTCAGGTTCAGTTCAGGGCTATCCCGAGGTGCAAGAACATTGACACGCAGAGATTCCTGCAGCGATTATATAAGCTGAATCCACTGTCCACAAAGATCACAAATATATTTCTTCCAGGACCTCACAGCTAACATTTCTGGTATTAAAGCAGCATTTATAAATGACAGCAGTGCTTGCAGCGCTATGCACAATCCACATGTGCATACCTTAGCGCATCAGCTATCGGCTCTGGCTCGTCTCACTTCCATAGCAAAGTGCAGCTGGTAGTCAGGCAGAATGGTATGTAGCTGTGGGCACTTTGGGTTGTGTTGGGTTTTTTATTATTATTATTTTGGTTTTCTTATAGGAAATATTTCTCTAAATATAGTTTCCAGCTATCTCTTATCTCCCATTTCTCCCCAAAGAGGGAGCCTGAACTCAGGGGCCAGGAGACACTGCCTCAGGAGGTGTCTATCTGATTCTTAAGAAATGGAGGGTGAAACTGCTTGCCAGAAACATCTCTTCTTCCTCAGGGTTTTGATTTCATTATAGGTTTTTTTTTTGTTCACTTTTGTTTGGGTTTGTTTTTTGTTGTCTCCCTTCCTGCCCCCCACCCGCATACTAGTTCAATGCTTCCTAAATACTTAAGTTTTTACTGTTTGCCATTGTTCGCAGTATGATGCAACTTTGTTAATGCTTATTCAGAATTGATAACAAAGAGGAAATTAAGCCAATGGCTCTGGCAGTCAGAATATCAGAAGGCAAGGGACTGACATGGGAATACTCTGCTCTCAACACCACTTCCATTACAGTGTAACCCTTGATTTTTCCAGGTGACAGGCAACTGATGGTGTTCGAACAGCATCATTGAACCAAACAGCAAACCACATGTTTAAGAGCGAATGGCTGCCTCAGCTATACACCTTCTTAGATCCACCTCACAAGTTCTTCTCCTCTGCTCTGACGGTAGATGCTACCTGTGGCAAAGGGCTCCTGCAGCCCCCAAGCCTGCTCCCCGATGTGCCATGGGTGCCTTGGCAGTACCATGCGTGGCCATCCTGCAGGCTCCAGTCCTTTTTGGGTGCTGCTCTACCCTGAATGCTCCTCTTTGCCAGCTCCTTCCCTGCTTCTCAAGGTTGCTTGGCAGATCCATGGAGTGATCCAGCTAATCTCCTCCCAGCTTATGATAAGGCACAGTGCCAGGGGCTCAGGCAGGGGAGGTAGACAAATGTCAGAGATGAGTTTCCTAAGCCCTGGGAGGGATCTGTCGCAGCCTCGACTTTTGGTGTATGGCAGAGGGCATTTTAGCATGGGGTTGAGACAGTCTGCACAGGAATGAATGTCACCCTTGATTTCTAATGTTACATTTGTAGGGCACTAATAAGTTAAAGTGCACATTAAATTGAAGAAGGGGGGGGGAGCCCTAGAAAAATATTAGCTCTCCTGATCAGGCTGCACTTGGAGAGAAGTATTGTTAACCTGAGCTTCCAGGTAATTACAGCACACGGGAGGTTAGTGAATCCTTTCCAATGCTCCTAAGCACAGGAACACCTACCACTGTTTTTTTGTTGGTTGTTTTTTTTTTTTTTTTTTTTTTAATGCAAAGGTCTGCTCTTTTCATTGTGCATACAATGTGATTGCTGGTTTGACACTGCAGGCTACACTGGTTTTATGAAGGATTAAATGCCACCTGAGACATATTTATCCTAAATAAATCACAAATGGTAAACTGCAGCATGTCAGTGTCAACACCCTGTACTGCAGCAGAAAGGTTAGCCATACAGGACTAAGCACAGCAAAGAATTAGCATCCAAGCTGCAAGACCACAGGGCTACAGTTAACAGGAGAAATGATCAAGAAGAAATATTTCCACTGAAAAACATTCAATTTTTTGAACATCTGTGAGAGTCTTGCAGAGGGCCATCATTTTGTAAAGGTCACCTTTTTCCTGATAACAAACGGGAGTTGATCCTGTCACTGTTTGCTGAAGACAGTATTTAAGAGTAAGTGAACAGCCTGTCACTTTTAAGAAAGATGAGCAAGTCAAACTCGGCTAATTATGAATCTCGATGTCTAACTTGAAATTTACTTTTTTGGGGGTTTGACAAAGACACAACCTTAATTCCTGGAAAAAAATATCAAAATTTAAAAAATAATAATAAAAAGAGATGAAAAGACAGCAGGATCTTATAGCCCCAGAATGAAGCACCTTTTCTAAGCAGCTCTATCAGAAAATACACTTTTAAACAGTTGCTTCAGGAATGGAACCATTGTTTTACCTCACCCCAACTTTCTTTAATTTTAAGATATTAAACATGATAGGAAACACAGTTATCTCTAGAGTCAGCATGGCTTACACCCTAAACACTTACACAATTATATTAAGCATGCATGAGGCACACTTCACAAATTAGATTCTTTTATCTTTATCTATCTAGTGAGCTAGAGAAAGGAAAAGAGAAAAGAGAAAATGCACAGACATAACAGATAGCATTCGTTTGCTCCTACTGAATGCCAGTTCTGTTTATTGCTTAATATTAAAAATCATGATGCTTCATTTTAATGCTAACATTTTATTTGAAAGACAAAAAAAACCCAAACCAAAACAATCCCCAAACCTCACCAGTTTATATTTTACAATTTTTTCAAAGAAACAAAAGCAGTTGTTATCATGAAACAAATCTTTTCCACATGAACTTGCATTGAACAATTGCAGTATATCCACAAGTAAATAATTGACATTCTGGACTAAGCAAGAAATACAAGGTCACCTTTTTTTCTTCTACTTGTTAATGTCAATGTCAGAATTTTCTTTAAAAACCCCCATAACATTTCAGAAGTTGCTCACAAAATGAACTGCAAAATGGTATTTATATAAAGCACTATCTATAAGAAAAGCAAAACACTGACAGTGACAATTTTTTTTTCCAAAAAATGCACGTTTCTTATGTAGGACTCCCATCTAAAATTAAGCGGAAGTTACAGGCATCAAGTTCTTCTTCCTGAATATGTATAATCAATAATTTTCTGGTGTAGCTTTTTTGAGCTCTTCTTCAGGGTAAGTCCTATGTGATACCATGAAAAAGTAAGCTACTATGAAAAATTTCATTTCAGATGCAAAAAACACTTATTTTGATGACACATTTTTAGCCAGGGATATTTTCAAGTAAGGTTCTAGAAAGCAAAATGTCACCTGTTCTCCTTTAAAATAAAGAAGGGCATTGATTACAGTATGTAAGCTTATGTTATTGTGGGGTTTGTATTTTTTGCATGTTCACAAAATGTACATGGAAGTGGAATTATTTTACTCCTGTGATTATGTTAGACAAAAACGACAGAAGGCAGGGAATTACCCTGAGATAAAACAACATTTAAAAAAAAAAAAACCACAAAGAAAGCAGTGAACAGAACAACACCTACTTTTCCATGGGGGCTTTTAATCTTCTTTTGTACACTAATATCCTTGTTTTATAATAATCCCATATAACAATTCTTAAAGCTATTGTAACAGGATTGTACTATCCTTTTCAGTGAACACCTCCTAGTAGCTGACCTTCACCTCCTGCAGGGTATGTATTTATTTGTTACCTGCCTAGGAGCATGTTGGATTGAGAAGGTTTTACATAAAATGTGCCAGGAATAGAGTGCCTCCATGGATCTGGTAATTTCCAGCTTTGCCCTGCATCAAGTCTAGGAGATGAAGCTCTTCATGCTTCTTGTATGTCATTATCATCTCTCTGGCCCTGAATTACTTGTGAACCACCCTCTGTATAAATTACCATGCTTGTTAACTGTTCTGCTCCATCAGGGGATGCGGGTTCTGCTTTTATAGCAGTACCAGTCTGCAAAATCTCTGGAGACCCAGCTGTCTCTATGACAGCGTGTGAGTACACACCAGGCTCATCCTGCATGTCTGGTGGCAATTCTGTGACGATGTAGTGGGTCGCACCTTCAGAGAAGTCGCCATCAGAACCCTGAACCATGGCTCGAGCTATTTCTTCTGTGACAATAATCTGTGATATTTTCCCATCCGACTCAACTAAATCCATGTGCTCACTTTGGACACTGAGCGCAGGGCTACCAGCTTCCTGCATAATTATCTGAGAGCCTTCTCCAGCTACCATATGCACAGTCCCTTCCTCATTTACAATGACCTGAGTGACACCTTCTTTCATCAGCTGGTCGGCTGCAGCCGTATCACATACAGCAAACTGTAATACTCCTTGGACCATTTTCTTGAAGGCAGCCTGAGCTCTCTCCCGAGATGCAATTATAGCCGATGGGTGCATGACCTGCGTCACTACTTCCATAGGTTTGGTATCTTCCCGAGTCTCTTGAACTTCATGGAACATTTGTATTTCTTGCCCCTCTGCATCACTGGGAATGCCGGGTGTCTCTGGGTTTGGCATCTGCAAGAAATCTTTGTGACTAGACCTGCATCTGTCAAGGAGTCTAGATTTGTTTTCCACTTCACCCAGCTCTGTTACAGCACAAAGCAGGGCATCTAATGCTGAGGAGGAGTCTGGAGGATGGACCGTAGCTTTGGAAGCATCTAAAACTTCTTGTCGCATTATCTGCTGCAGTACAGCACTACTGGAGTCAGGAACTGCATTTATTTGAACGGCCTCCTCCATATCAGTTCCTGTTCCTTCAACCACTACCACCTGCGTTGCACCACCTGCTAACTGCTCGCTAAGTATCTGCCCTGGAACCACCATACTACTCACGTGTGAACCATCTTGATTTGTAGCTATGACTTGCCCATCTTCTGTGATATGGACCACCCTGGCCATCTGACCAGCCATTGCTAGAGTCTGAAGGGTAGCCACTGCTGTTTCTTCCACAGAGGCATCAATTGTAAAGACACCATCACATCCTTGAATAATAATTAACTTCTTCAGGCGACTGCGGCTGTCTTCTGCTGCCCTGAAAGACCTTCTCTTTAACTGGAGAAACCTCTCCCAGTGCTGCTGCAGTAAAAGGACTCATAGTTTCCACAAAAGTTGCTCCTTGCCCCTTCAGTCGGCACTCATACGACTTTGACACAATGCCTACAAGATAAAATATGCTGTTAACATGGTATCATGGCAAATATCAGTTCATTACTTTAATAAATTATAGCTTAAATGGAAAAAAATTCCTTGACAATTTTTAGATTTCACTGGCAGAAAACACAGATAAAATGAGCAAGTGATCAAAAACAATTTGCATGTTTTCCAAATAACATATTTACAGGTTGAAATAATTGCTGAGTTTAATGATTCTGCAGCCTATTAACAATTTAAATGTTTTCTAAAATATGCTGTATAAAAAAAGCCCAGATAAATACCGTATACAGTTAAAAGCCATTAACACATCTTCTATAGAAGATCCTATTGGTGATATTTCAGTACTTCAGTAATGAACTTTAGGATCATATATTACATTAAACGTATCTGGGTGTGAAAAACTGTGGATGATCCTCTTAATACCCTGCTTTTGTAGGGGAAGTAATTGCCATGCTGTCATTTTGATGCCATTGTCTTTCCCTTCATTTCCCACCTAGCATCTTCTTCAGCACACCTGACTGACTCATTACTAGCTTAGTTACCTGAAGAAAACAGTTGGTAGTTTTCTTACCCTAAGCAGGATATTCTATACAATATAATCCAGATACATCAATTACACTTCTGAATTATTTTTACATGAAATCAATTAACAAATTAAATACCTGTAACCTCCCCATTCCAACTGCTTGGTCTGGTTTTTGGTCATTGAGGGTTTCCTTCTCAGCTCCCATCAGTAACAATAAAGCTTCAGCAAACCACATGGTGCCCACAGCTGCACAAAGTCAAGCCCATCATCCTTAAAGCATGGTCTCAGGGTTGCCTTTGCCACTTTTGAGAAGACAGAACTGAGAGCACCTTGTGACGAGCTTTGTAGGTGTCTGTGGCAGAACAGCTCCAGCACTGCCTGTGTCCCTGTGGCAGTGCCATCCCGAAGCAACCCTGCAGGTGCTGGGAAGCGAGCTTTGGGCTACAACCAGCGCACTCAGAGAGAAAAGTGGGTCCTGGACACTGAGAACGAGGAGATGGTCTGATGCCGGATGGGCCTTGGGAAGGCTGATTACGTCTATACTGCTGAGACTACCCACACCTATGCTCTAGTTTAAATTCGCCTACACAAACTGAAATCACATCTCTGGAATAACAGGTCATCTTATCACTAACACATAGATACACCATTGCTTGTTTGGGATAAAACATTTAAGAAAAAAGTTGACTCTTACAGTCAAATTTCAGTCTAGCACTGCACCTTCCAAGCCACCAGGACACTTCTAGTGAACAACATGCTCTGTTGAAATCAAGAGGCTAAGAAAATTACACTAAAGCTGGTCTAAGGCGGCTCTTTCACCCCAAGCATAGAGCTGTCAGGCCCTGATCCCACAGAGAACTAAACTGGGCTCTAAAAACCAGAGACTCAATTTGCTTAAAGGTAAGTTCACACTCAGGAGCTGTGTTACTCCGAGTCTGAGTACTTGGCATCTTGCAGCCTCTAGCAACTTGATATGCTAAGGTGCATATCAAGCTAATATTCCAAGAGGACAACAATGCTTAAAGGACTGAGTTCTTGCTGGCATCTATTTGGGTGTCCATCTATCTATCTATCTATCTATCTATTTATCTATCTAAATATCTATCTATCTATCTATCTATCTTTTTTTCCTATTACAAAGCTGCTGGTGGAGAACTGTACTGTGAAGCACAAGAAGTAATTTTGTTAAGCTGAAAGGCTGCAAATCACCTCCACAAATCCAAACTGATGTTATACAACTTTCTCCATCTTAGTTTGCAAGGCAGGTTATCTTTGGAAAAGAAAATTAACAATTGAAACCGTTAGAGTGTTTCCAAGTGATGCTGCATGATCAATCTGGCACATGCAGTTGAAGTACATTTTGTCAGGCATAAGCTAGAAGGAAGCTTACTGTGGTATGACTGATTCTCATCCTCACTTTTCCTTTGCTCTCTGTAGGCACTGACATTCAAAAGACCCCCCAAAGAGCAGAAAAATAGGAAGGGGAAATCAACATAAAATGACAATTATCTTAGCTCCTCCACATTTTATAATAGAGTAGAAGTAATTAATTCTCTCAGGAATCTTGCTTTGTTGACATGATAAAAGAGCAGCCTGGCAGTGATGTGGCACAAAATCAAAATACCTCTACAAATCACGCATTTTCCACTGGATTTCAAAATCAAAATAACTCTACGATCACAATTTTCATACGCACACAGCAAAATCATGACATCTTTCCCCTAAGATCATGATAATTTATGTACGGGACATAGCATCACTGCACTGAGAAGCAGCTCCAGTCTTTTTTTAAAGAGAAAGGAAATTCATTCTGCTTCCACCTCCTCAAATAAATGCTGTACCCGTGAATCTATGCAACTCCAGTCTTCACTGTGCAATTGAATGGGAAGTCTCCTGGGTGAAGAGCTATCCGGTGAATCCCTCGCAGCACTGGTAATTATGCCATTCTGACTGCTTACTTAATCTATTTGAATCCAGAGGTGAGTTAAGCCACTTCCTGACCATTAAAGTAAACTACATGGGTAAATACTGCTGTCACTAAGGGGTGTGATGAAGCTTAACTACACCAACATCTTAACCTCAGCTTAGTGTAACCCCAGCTATTCCATCACAGTTCATAAATGCGATTGCAGGTCCATCTTTTGATTCAGCAATTTAATAACTTCGAGTGCTGTCAGTACTGCTTTGAAAAATGGCTCCTATAAAATGTAACAGCCTCAATCAGATTGTAAAAGATTCACCCACTGAAGATTCTTCCATTTCAACTATAATGAATTAATGTTGAGCTGTGTAGAAGTTCAAGTGTCATTTAAACTAATGTGAATCTACTGTAACTTTAAATTTTAACTGGACTATGACCAAGAATTTACTGGGAACATCAACTTCAATTTTAGTGATTTTTCATGGTAAATATGAATAGTAGATTTTCCTGGTTTTCTTTTGTTTTAACAGTGAGAAGCCAAGCAGGGAAGATATTTAGAAAATAACATATTTTGAGGCTTAGGTGCTATTCTGAGTTTGGAACAGTGCATTTCTATAACGGAGCACTGCTATCCAACACAGCATTTGTAGGAATTTTTATGTATTTAAGGAACATGTCACATTATTGGACTGTATGTAGCAACAAATCTTGTTGTCCTACTAAATCCAGCCTGCCTCTTGCCCCCTCTTAAAAATGGGAAAGAGAAGGGGTAAGTGTTGGCTGACATGGCAAACATAAGCTGCAATACAAGCCCACATTAATATTAAGAAAAGTGGACTTGTTGCTGATTGCATGTCATTGCAAATTAAACAGATACACAAACAGGCATTAAAATGACAAAATATAATGATACGAGAGCTCATATTCAGACAATTTGTAAAGAGGTGTTTCATATCTAGGGGTGCAATGATCACAGAATTGGTTTCTTTCCAAGAAGTCTGTCATTTCAGCAGAGCCATTATTTATCAGTTGGAGTCCTGAGCGACTGTTAGTTTTTTATTTGAAAATGTCAGGATTTTTTAGACATTTAATCCATATTCACAGGTTATTTTAATTCTCAGAGCCCACAAACTCCCGAAATAGGGCTAAAAGAAATGCTTTGATGTTTAATGTGCTTCTGAGAAACTACAAATAGGGCTTAGTACCCTTTCCCCTCTCTTTTAGTCAATACCTGACTTCCTTTTGTGTGTCTGTTTCATTCTTTTGTTACTGTTATCATTTGCTCCCCACAGAATAAATACCTTATTCTTTTGTTAAGCTTACATTTAATTAAAATGTACAGGATTTGTGCAGTAAACTCGAATGAAACAAATAAAACAAGGGCCCCCTCTCTTCAAGGCATACGTTGTGAATGAAAAATGTCATTACAGACTAAAAAATTTTGCAGTAAACAGGGCCTACAGAGAGAAGTTTCCCCAGTAATGACATCCATAAAATACACAAATGGCACTTTTAGTACCATCCTGAATATGGCATTTTCTGTGCTCTACACACAATCTAAATGGTTTGATCATAGAGCATAATACTCCATTGGGTTTATAGAACAATCAATGTTCCATAAAATGATGTATTTATCCAATAGTAGGCTCAGCAGTTACTGGTGTATGACATTGTAGGACACTGGCTTTGTACTGTTCAGCAGCACACATGCTGGCTGTAAAACTTATCTAACACTACTTCAACAACTTCATCTCATCTGTGTCAAGTAATTTGTTGAAGCCTCAGCTTGGTTTAAAAAAACTTGTAATAAAAATTCATAGAATTTTCAGGAGAATGAAAGCTGATGACAATAGAAAGGTCACATTGTGGCGCCAGTCACGGGGTCAAGGGTCAGCCGCAGTTCTAAAACAGAAAGTAGATTTCATGCATCGTGTAGCAGATAAAGATGGCATTAAGGAGACTTGTCTCAGAAAGAAATGCGTAACGCGTTAGGAAAGTCTAGGCTAATATTATATGTAAAGCACCACTTCGCTCTCTGACAGCAGCCTCTTTGGAATTCTAACCCTTCCCCAAAAGTCGCAGCAAGCGCTTGTGCACGGTGAGGCTAGGCTGAGGATATCCTTCATGAGGAGTACCTTTAGGACAAAGCAGTAAGTCATAAATGAAATAATATTTTACAACGATGGAGACTATCTGCATTTACACAGCACACTTAAACCAGCCATTTTTCCTTTTCTGCAAAAGTTCTAGGATGTCTGATTTATAGCACCCTGTTCAGCAACACTTAATTTCTCATACTTTGGCGATTAAGTACATTATTTATTGACACATATGAATACTTGGTATCCACTAAAATGCAATAAATATTAAATAAGGTGAATGCAAAAAATATTTTCCTTCAATTATATACAACTGTCAATGAATTTAAAAGATATAGAAAATTCAACTTACATTGAACGAGCAACTGTTTTTTTTTTTAATTTTAAAAGTTACTGTCTACATGGCAGTACAATATTTCGAGTGGTAAGACCACTGTTCAAATTCATAAAGGAATAATTTGGGCCTTGATCAAACTCCAAGTTTCTGCTCTTTTTTTCTTTCCTTCTTTTAAAAAAATTATTTTTTTAATGATCTCTACTTTAACTCATTAAGTGCAGCCTAAGAACTGTGGCATAATGCCTTAACTTTGGGATTGCCTTGATTTTCAGAGGCCATAATAATAAGCCACATTTTTCATATGAAAATAAATCAGCAAGCCAAAACGGCTCTGTCAGAACTATCACATCCACAAAGGCAGCAAATATCTGTAAAGCAGTACAAGTAAGTATACCTATAGGGGACTTAACCAGATCCCTAAGAAATATATATTAAAAAAAATCCACCATTGACAGAAAGTATGTAAATCTCAAGAGATACCAATGCAGCACGGGTTCTTTCCTTTCAGTATATTATTACTGTAAAAAGAAAATTAAACAAAGACAATTGCCAAATAATGTTCATAGTTTATTTTATACTTAAAAATCCAGCAGCGTTGTGTTTCAATGCTGAAACTCAAAACATCCTTCGCTTCTAGCTTTGTCCTTAACCACCCAGTCATGTTTAGAAACTTCAAGGTCTTGTAAGAATTGCTCGAATAAAGGATAAAGTTTTAACCTTTCAGGTATCTTAAACAAAGCAGCAGATGTCCTTTTAGCTTCCTTAAAATGTAAAAGGAAATATTTTTGTAATTTTTTTCTTTCGAAAAAACAGACTGAAATTTCCTGCTTGTTATTTTTACCTCCCACACCTTAGAGGACTATGATGACAATAATAAA